CCATCGAAGCCAGGAGCTGATCCCGGAAGCCGAATCCGAGGATGACGGCTGGATGATGAGTAAACGGCGGCGAGTTATCACCAATGGTGCTAAACCAGGACTAGCAGCCCCATCAATTTTCCTTGCCCTTTTGTTTGTTGTCATGCCATTGGTTAGGTGGCCCTAAATTTACCGAGACTGAATGCAAAATTTTGGCAGTCCTCAATTTCGGGGGCTTTTTCAGGCTACCGTTTTGAGCTTTTTTCAGTTTAACAAACTAAAGAACACGTAACGATATTTTTGCATAATTAAAATTTACCTTTGAAATGGAACTTGTTGCTCCAACTGAAAAAAAGAGAAAAAAGCTCAGGAAAAATTTAAACTTGCGATACCGAGAATAATTTCCCGTAAAATTAGATAAATCATCTAAAACTATTAACCGATTTCTCATTTTGCAAAAATATTTGTAATTCTGTGTATATTATTCCTTGATAGCTCGGTGACAGGTGGCGTTATGTTGCTATAGGATAATAAGAAAGATTTCTTACGTTTTCTTGGAAGTGGATTTAAGTTTTTTTTTATGCTTTATGTTTCATTTAAACAGAAGAAGATGCATTATAACAAGATTGTGTTTGTATGTTTGTGTACACTATGGTATGTATGCATATATACATGTGTGTATGTGCGCCTGCATATTTTTGTTTTATCTTGGAAAACCCGCGTAAAGCCAACAAAAATTGGATAATTGTGCGCTGTGTATGATAGCGGTCTTCAGTGAAATGAAGATGGAAAATTCTTTTCACCATATTAAACTTGCATAAATTGAGCAAATCCTATATATGCCAAATCCATAAATTAATCCCCACATTAAAATGTAGATTAAACTGAGACAAAATTAGTTTAAAATTTCTTAACTTATAAAATACTCATATTTGATGGGTGAAGTAATTTTTAGCCCTCAGACTATTATTATTGATTGTTTTATATAAAAAAGCTGAGGTGAAAAAAGGCAGGGGAGGGGAAGGCAGCGAAGAGGAGGAAGCCAAGGAAATAGAAAGAGAGCAAGGAAAAGAAATGGCGCAAATGGTAATTTTACCATTACATAATAATAACAATGATAATAAGATAATAATAACAGTAGTAATACAAATAATAATATTAATATTAATAATAATAGTAATAATGCAACCAGCTAATATTTACGAAAAAATCAAATTAGCTTCACAGTTTGTATATTAGCAATGGCGTATTATTTGGTGCGATGCCTGAAAACTTATTTGGATCTCGAAAACTTTCAAACACCGAGGATTCTGTTAAACTGTTTTTTGCATAACAGTTTGCTTTATCTATTAACTTTTTCGGGTTTTTAAAAGCTTTGCTTGAATTATGATAGGTTGCATTTAATTCAGATATTTTTACACTTTAATCGGATAGGTGATAATTGATTTTTCATTATTCATTTTTCGTTATCAATGCTGTTCTTGTTATCATCATTATCAGTGAACTGTATTATCCTGAGAAGTGGTCGATGTTTGTTGCAAGCAGTGAATTTGCAAAACTTCGGTTATTTTTTTTACTAAAAAGCCTTGGTTTTCGAAAAATGGAAGATTTTAATCTATTAGGTACAAATATCTTCTACGGGAAATTAAAATTGCCTCATAACGATAGACACTTTCCTCTTGCTTTCCTCCCTCTCCTTCCCTTTCCCCGTCCGCCTCTCCCTCCCCTCCTCGCTTTTCAAAGTACTCTGTTCCTTATACTTCCCAAAAGATTCCATTTTCAATCGACCAACTTCACAGACATTTCTATTTTTGATGTATTTTTCCTGAATGTTGCAGTTTTTTTAATAATTGCATACTACTTC